AAATCTGAATTCTGATGATACATGAAACATAATAAGTCTATGAGATTTTGATGGTGATCCCTTATCTTATAATTTCTTGGGTCTTGTTTTCACCTATACAGATTATGAGTACAATGCTCAGAACTTCCTTCTTACAATATATGATTGATGTACAAGTACTTTATTGTTACTTTTCATCAGCTTAGTGATTGCAACTAAATCTAATGATAATTCAACTACTCTCTGCTGCCCTGCGGCCCCATAGAGTCCCATTGCTCAGTCCTCAGCCTGGTGGGACTTCCAGTCCTCCCTACACTGGCCTGGCTGCTGCCCCCAAATATAGTTTTTAACAAAGTCTCTATTGTTTTATTTGCCACTAAAATCTTCAGAATCAGATGTTGGAGTGAAAACCTGCTAGCTCATAGAGGCCGAGAACCAATCAGCTGACCTTCCTTTTGGACCAGTGCAATCAAATATCTCATAACACTGAATTTCATGGTTATGCAAAAAGAATGTCTCATTTTCAAATAAACATATACATAGTTAATTATTAAAATTCATGTGAAATACATTAAAGTCCACATTTACCATGGTATAATCTTAGTGATAGAGCCAGAGTAAGATTGGAGGGAGAAGGAGCTGGGGTTGACATGTGAAGCAAGCTTGTTTCTAATTTAAATAAGAAAAATCTTTTTTAAAAAAAAGTAAGTTACAGGTTTCATGATGCGATCTTCATGCATGATTGTCATTAGTTCCTCACCTAATCCTTTCCTCTTCCCTTGGCCCCAACTCTTACTGGTCCCAATAGTTCCCCCTCTGTTTTATGTCCATGTGTCCTATTCCTTTCTTTTCATCCTCCATCTGCTCCACTTTAGGTCTCTTCCTCCTTTCTCATGGTTCCCTTTATCATCTTATAAACACACCTACACCCATGTCAGAAAATACGGCTCATTTGTCTTTGCTAGTGCAGCTTATTTCATTTCATATAATGATCTCCAATTCTACCCATGACTTCATTTCCAGCTCAACAACAACTTCACTGTGTGTATTTGCTACACTTTTCCATTCCTTGGTTGATGGATATCCTGCCTTGTATTCTTAGCTGTTGTGAGTCTGGTAGCAATAACACTGATGTTCAAGTGTCTCTGTAGTAGGACTCAGAGTCCTGTAGATATGTACTCCACGATGCTATGAACTGAGCTGCTCTGTTTGTACTTGTTTATGTTACCTACAGCGATGAATGAGAGCTCTTCTTTCCTCACATCTTCACTTGCACTTGTTGTCATATTTTTTTCTTGATGACACCCATTCTGACAGGGCTGGGATGGAATTTTAAAGTATTGTCAATTTTCATCTTTCTGATGGCTAAATATGTTGATTAATTTTTTGGCTATTAGTATTTCTTCTTCTGAGAACTGTCTATTTATTTTATTGGTCCACTCCCTTATTGGTTTTTTTTGTCTTATCAATTCATTTTTCATCTTTTCCCAAATCATCCTGCTGCATGTCACCAAACACAGTACTGATTCTGAGGCATGTGACTCAGTAAAGGGGAGAAGAGAGCTATTTCCCCAAACTGGCATGCCAAGTGTGAAAAATAATGACTGCGATGAAAATCTCAAGATGTTTCATGAATAATAATGTATCTCCTCATTAGAAAAGAAGCTCCAGGAGGTTTTTCACTGTAGTATGCCCATCACTGAGAGCAACACATTTCATAGACACTTAACAAGCATTTTTAACAAATAATGTTTGCCAACTTTGTACAGATCTATACCAATTTGGAGCACTTGGTTTCTGAATTCTAGGTTCTAAACTCATAAAGATTATAATCTGGTACAATATGTACACAGTCATCTATTTGAACAGGAAACAACAGAAGCCGTGGAAAAACAATATTCACTTTGTACACCACTATAAAACAAGCACCTACTAATTCCTATGTGAAAAAAATAGAATAAATTCTTAAAAAGCTAAGTTTGCATCTTTTCTTTGTCAGATGATCATTTATTGAAATACTCTCTCATGTTGCTTTTAAACTAGCTGGCCTTCCATGGCACCCCTGCTGATGTCATCTATGATGTCATGAGATAGGCAGCAATCCACATTGCTGCTTATATATTGTGCAATACCCAGGATCTCCTTAATAGTTCTGGAGAGTTCTCTGTCCAGTACCACATCTGTTAGACAAGGTCGACAATCTCATCAAAGTGGTATTCCCATTGTGTTTAATGTTTTTCTGCTGCTTCCTGTCTTTTGGTGTCTTCTTAAGGGCTTTGACGATCAGGGCAAAGATAAAAGGTGCAACTTTAGCCTGGGTCTGTCTGTTCTAAACTGTCAGGTTGACTATCATCCTCAGACTTTTTCAATTACCAGTTGCCTTGGCAATTTCATCACTGACTTTTTGTGGGACAGACCTGGGAGATGAATCTTGGGGGTTGTCATGGTTATTTTTCTATTGCTGTGATAAGAAACCATGACAGAGATAAGAAAATGTTTAATTTTGTTTTATGATTTCAGAGGGTTAGAGTCCATGATAGAGGAACAAAGGCACGAAGGCAGGAACAGTTGATAAATACATCTTGGTAAGCAAATAAGAGACAGAGATCACACTGGGAATAGCATGAGTCTTTTGAAATGTCAAAGTCTGCCCCCAGTGACACACCTCCTTCAACAAGGCCATACCCCCTAATCCTTCACAAACAGTTCCATTAATCAGGGACCAAGAACTTAAAAGCATGAGTCAATTCTCATTCAAACTACCACAGAGGCCAAGGCAGATGCAGCATTGACCTAGTCTCTGTGTGGTGATTTGAAAGGAAATGGTCCCCATAGGGAGTGGCACTATTAGAAGGTGTGGTTTTGTTGAAGGAAGTGTTTCACTGTGGAGGTGAACTTTGAGGTCTCATATATGCTTAAGTCACATCAAGTGTCTCAGTTTACTTCCTGATGCCTTTAGATTAAGATAGCAAATTGTTCAGCACCATGTCTGCCTGAAGAAAACCATACTCCTAGCTCCTTGCCATTGTGATCATGGACTAAACCTCTGAAAATGTAAACCAGCCACAACTAAATGTTATTCCTTTTTAAGAGTTGCTGTGGTCACGGTGTCTCTTTACAGCAATAGAAACCCTAACTAGGACAGCTTGATTTATCTCAGGTACATAACTTTGATCTTATTGTGTTAAAGTTGATGGAAATAGTGGAGGTACCTGGTATCAGATGATCCTGGATTCAGGATGACCAAAGAAAGCTACCCTTTAGCATCCTCTCTGATGAAATCAGAAAAACTAAATTTGTGTCTTATTCATCTATCATCTTCAATCACTAACTGAACAAGGCATGTGGCTTGTTTCCTACAAAACTAGGAATAAGCTTGGAAGAGTATAAGTGTAGCCATTTTCTTGTTAAACCTAAGGACTGTGGATGTCATAGGGTGCACAGCCTTGTATCTCAACTAGCCAGGCACTGACGATCTTGCCAAGACTAAAAGTGTCAGATCCTATTCTTCCCATGAATCATTGCTCCCATCTTTGGGGGCAAATGTCAATCAGACACATAGGGGTTCTGTTTCATGCTGCTTCACTGAGGAAAAGTCACTCCATGCTACAGCCTTGGTTCCTCATCTTCAAAATGTATGTAATGAGTGGAGAATGTCCTCCAGAGGATGGTGATGGAGATCCTATCATATGTCTATAATCCCCCCACTTCTCCTTTGAACTCCCCCTCCTCAGACACTCTAGTCAAGTGCTTGAATGTAAGCTGTACTCCCAGATCACATACTTTCTAAATAGGGTCATTTGCATATTGTCTAGGCTTCAGAAGGTTTTGCTTAGTCCAGAATAAGCACTCATATGTTACAACAACAGTGAGTCAAAGTCCAAGTAGTGATGCAGTAAAAAATAGAAAGGGAGTCTTAGAGCTATACTCACACATTGCCTGCCCCTCTGTCATTTGGTTTCCTTGTGAAAATGGGATAAATTGCTTAATATGTCAGCAAAAATGAATAAATATGTAAGAAATTCTATGATAGTCATAGTTCTTGTCTGTCATTTGTCATAGTGATATTTTTTTCTCTTGATGGTGTGCCATGGTATAAATAAGTAATGACTGTTTCTAAGGGTGACTCCATTCTTCTTTGTAATCATTATTCTTTTCTTTTCCACCTGACCATCTGTGCTTTCCCTACCCTGACCTAGTCTTCTCCACCTTCCTCCCCTCTGCCCAACAACATCTGTGTCTTTCTTCCTCCATACTGACATAGAACCACATTTTCATGACATGGAGCTACAAACACATAGACATCATTGTCTTCTTTATTCTCTATCAGAGGAAGATGGGGCCTTTGTATAGTCTTATTGAAAACCCAAGAATATATATGTCTAAATGTCATTTTCAAGAACCAGTCCCATCAGAGTTTTATATTGTGTAGACAGATCACAGGCACTTGGAAAGTGTTTACTAAAGAGAATGATAGTTAATCTTAAATGATATACTTGATTCAATAATACATTTTGAAGTCAACTTTAAAGATTAATATTTTATCAAATGCTAATGCATACAAGACAAAGTTTGTTTGGAATTTTAAGAGATGCATATGCTAGAGAAATAATTTGAAGGTCATTATATAATAAAATTATCTGCACTTATAAGTCTAAATATATTTTCAATGTAGATTATACTGATACGCTTGTGACAAAAGGAAGGACACAATATTGAAGTTACATCAAAGACTGTAGCAGTGAGTATGCTGAAACATTGCAGCACTACTGACTGCTCACCAGTGCTGCAGAGATGATCTATGATTGTGATTAATTCCCTTTGAAATTCTGATCAAAATTGACCAGTCCAATTTTCTGCACTGGTTCTGTAAGTCAAGTCTTACTGTGGAATTACATAAATCAACATAGCCAGTGCTTCTGTGAAAATGGGGCAGGGAGGTGGCTATAGAAGTAATTTCTGAGTTGTCAGTGACAGATGGTAGTTCTGATCTCATAACCATAGTAAGGAAAAGGTCTTACCGTAGCTGTCATAGGCATCGTCATTTACTCCATGACCATAGTCATAGTATTCAGGCACACTGCAACAGATTTAGACAGGAATCAATGATTCAGTAAGCAGAAGAATCAAAACTAGAACTTCACAAGAAATTCGAAGTCAAAAGTGTTCCAAGTTTTAAAAAAAGTGTGCCAAGGTAATATTCCAGTTAACTACTGGCATAAAACACTATCATAAAAAAACTCAGTGAGAAAAATGAAGGCTATTGACGAGAAGTGATATGGTTCTATCTATCTATCTATCTATCTATCTATCTATCTATCTATCTATCTATCCATCCATCCATCCATCCATCTATCTGTCTATCTATCATCCACATATCTGTCATCAATTTGTCTATCAACCAATTGATATCTATCAATCACCAATCTATAATTTATTTTTCATCTACCTACCTGTTTCAATTGGTTTTCACCTCCATCTTCCTCTCTAGTCTATGGACTTGACAAAATATTTAAGCTATTTACTTTCACTCAGTATTTCCACTTTAAATAACTAAATTTGCACTTGTGTTCTGTTTCTTTTCAAAGGATCACAGTGTCCCTCCTACTCACAGTTGTTTCTTACTTGGCCCTAGAACATCACTCTTCGCTCTTGCAGGGCTCATTTCAACTGGCACCCATCCTTTGCAGACCAGCCCTCTCTACGTGAACTTTCACAGCAGCACTTCCTGACCAGATGGCAGTACTCAAGTCTTTCCACCCACCATCCCTTTGCTTCCTTTTGATGAAATCAGGCTGCTGTTTCCATGGATCTACTAAACGATTTCCTTTCCAGATCCTGACATGTTCAAATACAGTAAGACTTCATTGTAATGTTCCTTTAAAGTTTTGTGAAACCATTGGCCATTTGCTTTGAGATATTTGTAATTCATTTCATTTTCTCTATTTAGTGAAGTTACCATTTCCCAACCTCCTACTCTCATTTATTAGCATTTTATTAGAAAATTTCTTCTTCTAAGTCCCAAAGCAACCACATCTATGCCTGTGTTGCCTATGACTTCTCAATTATATCTCTATCATTGGCACCATCCCTGTGCTCTCAAGTATGGATAGTCTAATGTACATTTCTATTCGAATGCCAAAATGAACTTTTCCAAATTCAAAAATGAAAATGATGTTCTTCCCACCTCATATTTGCACCTTTAAACTCTTCTATCACCATCATTGGAAACCTGTTAGTGTCTCACTCAAGTGACAATATATTGGCTTCTCTCTTTTATCTCTTGTATAATGTTTAACCCCAACAGCAAATTCTTTAATCTCTATTTGCAAATACGTGCAGAACCTGAACATGTCCCAACATTTTCACAGCTGCAGTTTTAGTGCAGGAGTTTTTAATTTCTCTCTCAAATGACTCAACACATGCTTACTGCTTTTGTCGTTCTATTTTCTACATAGCAGTCACTGTTACAGATATGATAAATCATCTGGCATTCTCTACTCAAAAGTCCATAGAAGACTTCCCAATGCCGTTTAGAAAAAAAGATGAAACGTATAAAAATCTGTTATTTCAGGCCCCACTCTACCAATTTACCCCTTCCTTACTCAGTTCAAGCCACAGCATGCTCCAGAATGTTCTCCAGTGATGGAAGGTGTGTTATTATCCAAGTATCTTTATATTTGCTGACCTATTATCTGAAAAATGCTTTCCTGAAATGGTCAGTTGTCTTCATCCTTTCCATTTTTAGCATATGTCGTTTACAAGAGTTTCTCCTGATCATTCTTCTGACTAGCACTCGGCCATGTGTCCCCTGCTTGTTCCTTTGGCACTTGCCAGAGCGTGGTGTAAACACACAATGCACATTTGTTCATTTGCTTAGCAGCTGCTTCCCGCTTACGCCTGAAGATCTGAGTGCTTTTACTCTACCTTATTTATTTCCTATTGCTGTCCTATTGACTGCCTATAGCAACATTTGGTATAGGACAGCTTCTCAAGATTTATGTCACACAAGGGTCAATTATCTAAAGGAGGGTAAACAGTATGTAAATGAGTGGCTTCATTCAACTTGGTCATTTTAAGAATAATATGCAAAAACTAGAAAAGTTACCATTTTGGTAATTCTTACATTTTTACTGGTACTATAGGCTCTACACACATTATAATAGCATATTTTTCCTAAATCATTGCCTGGTTTTAATGAGCTCTAATGCACTGACATATATTTGAATATTTGTTGAGGAAATGTCTTAGTGTTTCTTTTATTGACAAAATTAGAGATTGAACCCACTAAATAAGCATTCTATCATTGAGCCCCAAATCCCTTTTATGTATAAAACACCATGACAAGAAAGTAATTTCATACCAAATATCAAACTGTATAAGATCTGAATGTGGGTATAGGTGGGAAAAATCAAGAAGGGGCTAAAATGATGTGCTTTGTTTATATTCTTATTCTTCCAGAGTTTTCTCTAGGTCTCAATGGATCAAGTATTTAGGATTTCATTGAAAGGAAAAATAGAGAAAGAAAAAACATTTATGCTTTAGAAACTAAATGAGAAACAGAAAGAAATTTGGTTGCATTTATTTTCGCAGGATGCAATTTATAGTGAGCCAACATTAATTTTAGTGAAAAAAGCTGAATAAAAAAATGATTGTTTAGCCCAGCCTTTACTGCTTTCAGTATTTACATAGAAACTATTAAAAATGAAGAATGATAGATGTTCTCCCCACCTTTGGATCAGAGGTTCATGGCATGGTAGCAGGATATTTGTATCTTCTTTCCCACATATGCCTCAATAGAAATTATGCAATCCTGGGCTGGAGTATTGACTCAGCAGTTCAGAGCCAGTGTGTTCGTGTAGAGGAACATGAGCTATGCTCTAGCATCTAAATCAGGTGGCTCTCACTAGAGCTCCTGGTGATCTGACATTCTTTTCTGGATTCTGTGGACATCTGCATTCATCTATACATAGCCCACCCATACATATACACATGCTAAAAATAAAAGCAAACATAAAAAAGAAACAATACAAACCAGTTCAGGGTCCTCATATGATTCATCATCCTAATAGTGATTGTGTTAATTATTTGAGAGTCGCAATATGGCAAACATAAGAAAATAATTTCAGGATCAACATTTATTAGGGAAAGATGCTGACATTGGTAACTGCTTTTTGTTGCATAAGTATGTCATTCTGCTTCTCAGAGTATACTGTATCACTTACTGAATACTATCTGGTGCCATTACTATATTATGTTATTGGATTGTCAAGATTTAGATTGATGAAGCCAAAGGAAGGCAAAAAGGAGCAGCCACGAGAAACACTATGACAAAGAAAATATACTTATTTTAATTATATTATTATATAATTATTTTATTTAAAATTAATTAATTAATTTAATAAATAAATAAATAAAATGATTATGTAATTATGTCTCATGAAAGACATAATGACACCAAGAGAGAATTGTCACTTTCATATTTTAAGAGCTATAATGGAGTATCATAGAAACATGATGGCTTACTGTCATAATGGACTTTGTAGGGCCCATGTCATTGTTTAGTCAGTAGTATTTCCATAAGGGCCTTTCTTTGACAAACAGTTTTGAAACCAATGAGTATGACTAGACACCCTTTCTGCTATATGTACTTTTGTGACTAAGTGAAGAAACCTAAGATTTGTAAAAATGTAATGTGGAAACCAAGGTCATTTCAAATTTAAGAACAATCTATTTTTCTTGGATTTGTGCTCCAAAACCTTCTAGCTTTGTGAATAAAGACAAAACCTGAGGAGTCAAAGATTGTACCCTGGACAACACCTCAACCTCAGACTTACTGCAAGAAGAAACTTTTCTCTACACTGTTGCTTACCTCACAGTTTGTTAAGAAAAATGAATGTGTTTAATATTGTTTGAAAAAAAATGAAGGAGTGATGGTGAAGAACACTGCTGAAAGAGGTTGTGTCTGTCTGGTTGGTGTTCTAGAATTTAAGTAGATAAGGAATTTGGAAAGGTGATGGGGGAAGTCCTTCTGTGCATATTTTTGTCTTGTTGGTTGATATATAAAGCACTGTTGGCCAATAGGGAAGCAAGATAGCTGAGAAGTGGATGATTCTGGGAAATGAAGGCACAGAGAATCACCATGTAGGACTCGAGAGGAGTTAAGAGGTCTGGACCCTTTCTCTAGTAAGAAAAGACCACGTGGAAATACTCAGATTAGCAGTTATGGGTTAAAAATTAAGTCAGAGTTAGCCAACAAGAAACTATAGCAAACAACCAGTAGCTTCATAATTAATATAGCATCCTGTGTGTTCATTTGGGACTATGCAGCTCTAGGAATAGGCTGGCAGGAAGAATGCTCGTTATGGAAAGGTATGCATTATCCAGAAGTCAATACAGTCAACACAAAACACTCAAAAAAACAAATCACTTATGTCCTTTCTGATGTAAATGATTCTAGTCAAAATTTGTAACAAATTATTCTGATAAGGTTTTTGTCTCTCAAAGTCTAATTATTATCCATTTATTTTCAAATATTTACTAATGTTGAAGGTATTCAAATATAAAAGCTACTAACTATATATTGTTTGAGTAAATGATAAGAAAATTCAGATTTTGTATATGGGCTGATTTCTATAGTTAAGTAAATTAGCATGTTAAAATAATGCAATAATATGAAAATTACATGTAGAGATCTATAATAATGGTGCAAGTACACTTAGCATTTAGGAGGTCATTCTCAACTGTTTTCCTACATCTACTCTGCAATCTTGATTTCTTGAATGGACAGAAATATGTTAAACAAAAATGTCAAATATAGATGGATTTTCAGCTGTGCACCCAGCCTCAAATTACCAATTGGATTTTCCCTTATTTCCGTGTTCATTTACAGATGCTCAGTTCCTTCTGTTAAATTTCATCAGCTCTGTTAAAATCTCCATTTACAAAGCCATGACGATTTACTGTTCAGGTTAATGTAATGAGTGCAATGCACAGGGTCAGGTATCGTTCAGTAGCATTCAGAATGTTAAGGGATCGTTACAGACATGACGAAAGGGGAGACTCTGTACCAAACATCTT